CAACTAGCAAATTTTACGAACACTTAATGGGCACATTTTACGAACACGTAATAGTCGCAAATTAACAACATTTAACAGTCGCATTTTACGAAATTTTAACGGGCGCTTTTTATGAACAATCAACAGTTGCATTTTAATCGCTTTTTACGAACATTTAAAAATCACTTTTTACGAACATTTAAAGATCGCTTTTCACGAAAATTTAACAGACGCATTTAACAGATAAGACCCAGTTAACAGTCACATTTTACGAACATTTCACAGCTGCATTTTACGAACATTTAACGGTCGTATTTTACGAACATTTAGTCGCATTTTACGAACTTTTAACCGTCGCATTTAACAAATAGGATCAATATCAGTATCTGGGCTGAGGGCGCTATGTAACAGGGCCATTTAAATTTAGGACAAAACGACTTATATAAAACAGTACCAGTAAACAACCCTTATGTAATTAAGGTCAAATGAATGGCCTTATGTAATAAATGTTTTTAAAATGTACGACCTTAAAGTTTGTAAAAAGCACCCGTTAAATGTTCGTAAAATGCGACTGTTAAATGTTCGTAAAATGCGACTCTTAAATGTTCGTAAAATGCGACTCTTAAATGTTCGTAAAATGCGACCGTTAAATGTTCGTAAAATGCGACTCTTAAATGTTCGTAAAAATACGTTAAATGTTCGTAAAATGCGACTAAATGTTCGTAAAATGCGACCGTTAAATGTTCGTAAAATGCGACAGTTAAAAGATAGCGATCGCGACTTAAAGACCACACGAGTACTAACACCCAATGTGTGAAAGTCGGCCAAACCTTGGTGAATGTCCTCACAACATTTCGCTAGATCCGGACGCCTGTTGGCCTGTTTTTTTCCCTATTATTGCTAACTGTGAGAATTTTGTTCAAGATCACGACAATTTCTTTTTCGTGATATTCCGTGATTACCTTTGCTTGTGCACGTTTAATTTAAGGTCACCACTTTTACTCACGCGCAACTTTGTCGAAGGGGAAGCCATAGGAAAGGAAGGGAATAATTTGTTTCAATATGGAGCAAAAATATAGATGTGAGAAACGATTGCTAACGCTGACTTTTTTGTTTCAACATTTTAAGTGACAGATTTTATGTTCACATTTCATTCTTCTACAAGATCGCCACTGATCGCTCTCAGCTTATTGGCCCTACTTGCCGCCTGCAAATTCGTGAACAGGGCGTTTCGCGCCTTTTTCTTTTGAACGCTGTGATTGGATGGTGATTTCAACCACGAGCGACATCGTTAGTCATGCCAATGATACAAAGAAGAGAGATAGGGAAAGATCTAATACTTGCATTAGGTTACAATTATTTCTTCGCGTATCACAAAACAAACAAACAAACAAAAACAAAAAAACGAAAGAGAAAAGAAAAATGCAGGCAGGACTTTAAACAAGTCCGTGTTGAGTTGTTGCGGCGCAGTGACCTCATAGGGAATGGCCACACTGGTCAGAGACCTTGGCCATCGACCCAACGGACAAGTAATGTAAAATTAAAGAATAGAAATGTAACATGAAAAAATTAAACACATACGTTAAGTTGATTTACGTTCAAGGAACAACCTCCTGAAACAACCATGTATGGGAAAGGTCGCGGTACCTGCCGAATTTCACGTAAAAATTCCTTTGAAATATCGCTGAGGTCGACTCAACGGAGATAACGTTGTTCAGGCGACGTGCTTGAGTATGCTGTTGTTGTTTCATTGTGAATGTAACTTTAAAATAAGCTTTCTTTTAAAACGTTTCGCCTCTATACCCTAAGACAATAAGCTTTTCACGAAAGAGTTTATGAGTCTATTAAACTCGTCCACGTCGAAAGGAGCGCTCGCTTGAGAGGCGTTCTATTAGAGGACTAGGAGCATGCCAGGGAGCATTTAAGGCAACAAAAGATTTCGCGAAATTGAATCTTCGGTCCTCAAAAAATTTTTTTTTTTCAATATGAGTAACTCAAAATTGTTTCGCAATTTTCAAAAAAGTCACTTTTTGATGGAAGAGAGCCGTCGCACTTTCAAATATGTTTCCTTGAAATTAAAGTCCAAAAAGCTCGCATACTTCACAACAGGCTGTCATAATTTTTTTCTTTGCAAGTTTCTGAGAAGTCTCCCTTTTGTTGCAAGAAACTCAAAGCGACTTCGCTGACCCACACATTCTACCAGTCATTTGTACTTGGTCCGTCGTGTAATGTTTTTTCTTCAAAGTTTCAAGTAACATTACATTTTTGACATATAGAGATTCATTGCTGAAACTCGCTCTCTGAAACGTAGACAGATATGAGGTAATTGGTTGGTACAATAAATCGTCACACCCAAATTTGGAGAAGCGATTTGTAATTAATGATGTTAGAGAGGAAAATTATTGTCTCCGCAAGTTTACAAACTAATTTAGTATCTGACGGGTTACAAAATAGAACTTTGAAAGAGAAAAAGACAAAATTAGCGCAATGTTTACCATCACTCACGCAAAGGCACGTTCTGTTACAGTGGATGATATTTAGCTATTAAAACTCTAAGACTGCGGAACACGTCTGCTCCTCCTCTCCAATCTCGCCACATCTGCTCATGGAGGAAAGCGGGGATGTCCTCTCTTCTAACTCCCTTTTCTCTCTTTATGTGGTATTTTAGCCGTGCCCAAGCTGACTCTGCCTCCTGAGTGTGGACTCCAGTCAGGGGATCAACGAAGTTGTCTTGGTGGACCACGCTTCTATGCACCGTCACGTTGGGAACGTGGCGATGCAAGTTTCTGTAGGCGGCCCAATCGTCAGTGTGGACCTCGGAGCCAGGAAGGAGTACTCTCTGTAGGATTTGGCACAGAGTTGCCCGATCTCTTCGTTGCACTACTTGAAAATATCCCCTGCAGGGTATGTGCTCGGTGGATATAACGCCAAATACCCAACAAGGTCCGTTACCTGCACGACGCCCTCTTTGATACTGGAAAAAGAGTCAGATACAAACATATGTATATTTACATATTTAGTGAATAAATCCCATCAGGCCGCGGGTATGTGGACTGACAATGTCCTTGGCTGAAAGAGTGTTCGAAAAATGAAAAATTCGACCGAAAAGCGAAGCTTCGAGGGCGAATGTGACAATTTTGAGGACAATACCTCAGACAGGAACTTTATCAGGCGACATACCAGCAAGCCGGAAAGGGCTATATTTCTTTTATAAACTATCGTACAAAAACCGTTGGTAAAACTTTCTGGAACAGCATTTGTTTCCAGCTCTAAAACACTATCACTAGACTCCACAAAACCAGGCTTTTTTTTTTTTCATGTCAAATGATTAAGATGAAAAGGTAAAACTTTTGAGCTGTCTTTTTTCCGCCGTTGCTTTTCTCCTTCTCAAAGATCATTTTACGAAAGGTAAAATATGTAGAATGTGAAGAATCTTTTTATTCATTTCTTTCTAATTCAACAACGCAGCGTTGTAATTTTGAACAGTTATTCTATACCAGCATACGGACCATTTTTTTTCTGAAGGGCAGGTATGATCATGAGAAATGTTAAAAAAAATTGTTTTCAGGGTCTGAAAAGAGAAAATAAATTGTTTGTAAACGTGATAGGGTTAAAAAAAATGTTTGGAGAGAAGTCAGGTAAGATATTAAAAAATATTTCTACTAAAACTGAAATGAAAAACAAAATAACAAATTGAGGCATTAGAATAAAAATTGACACACTTTGGGCACTAAAAAGTGGTCACTCTGTTTTAAGCAAATAACAAATCTGAAAATAGCTAAATATTTCTTGAAGAAATGAGATTCTACTGTGGCAGTTAAAAAATGGAAAAAAATTGTTTGCACGAAGATGATGTTGGAAAAAAAATGTTTGCGGAGCGGAGACGTATATTTTTAAAAAAATATTTGCAGAGACGTATATGTTTAAAAAATATGTTTGCGGAGACGTATATGTTTAAAAAAAAGTGTTTGCGGAAGAACATTTCTCATACACCCCCTCCAGAAAAATAATGGTCCGTCCCTTATAATTACTCATACTTATTAACTGGATTCTATTTTGTATCGAGGCACGTATAACTTGTTATTTTTTCAAAATAACTTGTTTTAGATACTTAATAGATTTTGAATAGTTAAGATTTCTAATCGGCTAAATAAGAGTCTAGATAGTTTTTAAACACCATTTTTGCTTGCTTCATAAATTTTGTCTATTAATAATTTTTATCTTTCTATAATGACGATGAAGAATTATTTTAATATTAATTTTGATTTTGTATTTTATAGAGGGCCACAAGTTTATCGGTTTTATTATAACTGTCACGTGTTTACCCTTTTCAGATAAAGGCGTTACCTTACCTTACCCCACCTTTAAGTTACTTAATTTGTCATAGGTATAGTTTCCTGGACAACCTAGCCCCTAACAAGGTTATCGGGCTTCATCAACATTGTTTAAAGTTTCTACTGGGGGTGTATTTCTGTATTCATCGAAAACAAAACACGCACCTTGGACTTGTGTCTGAACTGGCTTTCGTCGCTCTTAACAACGAAAACGCGTCCTCCAAACGGAGTAACTGGTTGATCTTCGAGGTCTCTGCCGCAATAATGCCTCATGACGGCGTATACATTTCCAACGGTGTTTCTGGTCAAAGACAGCATCCTCGCAACCGTAGAGCGCAGTTCACGATGGCTCCAAAGGTACATAAGGACGACGAGTTTTCCAAGAGGAATTCTGGGAAACTCTCTAAAAAAGCTTCCAGTGCGTAGAAATTTTTTCCGTCGACAAGTTGCACAATGCCTAAAGAAAGGAATAGAAGCAAGAAAGGAATAGAAGCAAGAAAGGCGTGTAAGCACGAGAGAGTGTTGTCACAACTACTTAAGCCGTTAATTCTGACGAATGCAACAATCTGCTGTTTCTCATAGTAACGACCTGGAATTTTTCATTGTACACTTGCTTTATGACTTCATATTTCTCCATTTTACGATGCCTCAGAAGTAGAGATAGGCGGACTCAACGCTACTGTGTGGGTAGAGCCGCGTACGATTGAATTTGGAAAATGTTTGAAATTTACAACCTAACGGTCTTTAGATTAATTGTGTAGACTGGTCCACTTCACAAGTTAAAACAAACACAAGAGGTGCGTACCAAATGTAGCCATCAACATGGTCGTAATTGCGTTCATTCAGTTCCATGGGCTGGTTGCACGGTAAGCATCTCAGCGGGTTTGCGATCAGATATTCAAGTTGTAGCCACTGGATCAGTTCGATAGTCGGACCGTTAGCAAGATTACTAACTTGAAGGAGATCCATGTCTTGTTGTTAAATTTTTTTTTCCAGTAACTTGAAATTTGGCTCTTAATAAAATGATTTGGGATTTTTTTTCTCCACCGCAAAAGGAATTACACATACAAGTGAAGCCCTCATCTAGAGTTCACCCATGGGATTACAGCTTTTTGTTGGTGTGGTGGACAATTACGCACATGTTTTCGTTGTGATACGTATTCCCTCAGTTTTTTTGCAAACTTTTGAACTTTCGTAAGGCACAGAAAGCTTTAATAAGAAGAAGAAGGGAAAAAGGTGAGAGCAAAATTAACAGTGCTTTGTAACTGTAAAAGGCGGCATCAACTCTACAGTGTGCGGCACTTATTAAAGTTACAAGAAGTGAGATTTTTTTTCTTTTTCAGTTTATTGTTTCCGTCATAAACATTCTTTGCATCGTTTTGCATTAATTTTGACCACAATTCCCTCGCGTCAAAGCCAAAGCGAATGATCCTCGTAAAAGTTTGAAAGGATCTACCTTAATCGAACAATTGTTACATCAACATTATTCAAGCATATTTTTCTGAACTTGAAAACTGGCGAAGCCAAAGAGGTTATCAATAGAAAAAACAAACTAAGAACAGAAAGTTTACAAAACTCGATTTAAACTCTTTACGGTGGCCAATTCACGTTATCAACTCAGTTGATAATACTAAATTACCTAGGTATCTATTGGCTCTTTTTGATTAACAGACGGGTACTAAAGTGCAAAACATGAACCACCCATGGGAGCAAGCAAGTGTCTGTTGATACCGATATGCGCATATTTTAGTCAATACAAAACGAAACCTGAACTGCAGATTCAGACTGCAGATAGAAGTTCTGCTGGACAATCTACAACTTCAATCGCATATACCACCTTCCATCTTATTTGATGCGGGTCTGTTCCGCCCATTATCGCTTCCCTCGCAATTTTCAAGTTAATTGCACGTGGACTAAAAACGACATAAATGCACTTTCATCAAGTTAATAAAGGTCCAGTTATGTATTTGGAAAGCGCACAAAGCTTCGCGCCAATGATTCTTTTTATTTATTTATTTATTTATTTATTTTTTCATCCTAATACAAAGCCATTTAAAACAATGCCTCGGCGCAGAAGGTGAGAAATCTCTCTAGCAAGCTTTCTCAGTAACCACGCCCTTTTGTAACATATGTGTCACTCTCCTTTTCTGGTGGAGGTGTCAAAATCTACTGTGGCACTGACCAGCACATCATTTATCCATATCTTCAATCTTACGAGAGTAGTCACTGGAGTATAAACATGGCGAGTGGTAATGCCAGGCGTGCGCGAACTATGAAACGCACTTTCATCTTGCTACGCTGGGCCGATCAGTTGCGCGTTCCGCGAGCGGCCGACTTTGCATCACTAGAGTCGGGTGGCCGTGTGAAAGAGATAACGTTCAGTAACAATTCGACCATCGCGCATATTGCTGATATGCTCAAACATAATTTCCATCAGCTAAACACGGATGAAGAGATTTCAAGGTAAGACGATTATACTAATTCTATGACAACCGTCATTTATCGTTACTTTTAGTGAGTGCCAGCTATTTTTTTTTTTTCAGATTGCAGTTTTACAAAGCGTTAGGCTCCACAAATATTCTAACACGGGTTGGCACGGCGCCTGATATTTGTGGTGACACGTTTAAAAACGTCTACCGAAATAGAAGTAGGGTATTTATGCGGCCATCAATAGGTAGGAATTAAAGCAGTTCCGTTTCATTTAGTGGTGTTCTTTTTCCTTTTCATGACCGTGGTATGTATATGCCTAAACGATATCGCAGCCTGCAATTATGACTAAATATCCAGAACTCTCTGAGAAAAGAACCAGCCAGTCGCCTAATTCCAACGCAAGTGCATACTTATAGCCCTGATCTTGAAAATATCATTGCTCTTACTTCCATGGACAATGCTCTCAATTAAACATTAGTCGACTCAAAACGCCAAAAAAGAGAACTCTCAGAGATGCCTTTGTATTCAGGACAATGTTTGATTGTTTTTCATGGGATTTCCTTGTTTGAATCGGCAAGACCAACCCGTACAAGCAGGCACGAATTCTACAAACGGAGCTGAAGACGACGGAGTAGCCGACCAAGCTGGTGAGCAAGGTAAATTCCAAACTAAAATGAATGAAATAGTTGCATTTACAGAATAATTAGACAAGATGTAAAAGATCTATAGATGATTCACTTGATTTTAAAGTAAGATGTAGAGATACGCGCAGTGGCATTCTAATATTCCTGGGCGAATGGAATTATCTTCCAAATTGCTCGGTGAGGTATACAATGAAAAACTGCAAAAATAGCAGAGAAGAATAGATGTATGATTGAATTTTATATAACGAGTAAATCTGTGACAGGTTCAATTTTGATTTCCTTGTATAGATCGACAAGACCAAGTTAATCAAAATTCAGCAGACGCAAGGCATGACGACAGAACAGATGACCAGGCTGAAGAGCAAGGTAATTACGTATTCTAGACTAAAATGTGTGAAAGAGTGGGACTCCTACAGTGTTTCGATATGATATTTCGATACCAAAAGGTCAAAAACTTGTTTGCTTTAGAATTTAGAGAAGCCCAATGTGGCCATATTAGAATCATAGACACTTCTGTGAGGTATGGCAATGAAGAGCTGAACAAACACACCACGAAGATAATGTGCTTTAGTAAGAGTTTTAAAACAAAAAAACTCTCTTTTTCTGTATCATTGAGACATATAATTCTTGATGACAATTTGAAACGGTGTATGTCATAACCTGATTCCTTTATCTAGTTGAAAAGAAGTAAATATACCAGGTGGGCTTTTTGGAATACCCGAGTCGACTGTTACATGTCGAGAATAGATATTTTAAAGTGAAAAAGACTGGTGACGAACTCGTACGTTAGTTTTCAAGGGGCCACGATCATGGCTTGCGTCTCTCGACTTGTGCTACATATTTATTTGATGTGACATTGGCCTATCCACATTTCCTCTGGAGTTGTCTTGACTTTTCCAACCCGGGAATGGTGTTCTTTTTGCTAATTCTACATTACTTCAAAGATGATAACAAATTACTTCGCCTTTTGTAATATATTTACAGCTATAGATCCAATCGATGCATTTAAGTAGTAGCTTTAATTTTGTTTACATTCAAAACAGATCCAGCGAATGAAGTTGAAGGAGAGATGATAGTTGAAGAGGAATTCGAAGACACGATCTCCCAACTTGGTACGCTTTTACTAATTACGACTCTGCTCAACTAGGTAGCGTCGGGGTGAGATTTAAGACTAAGGAAGACAGAATCTTTTAAGAATAGTCAGCGAAATGATTATCAAATCTAAGATGGACTTCATAAGTGAAATTCTCTCGGTTACTCTGGGTATCTCGTAGAATTACATGCTGATGTTCTCTTGGTGACAAATTCAATTCAATTTCAATTAAATTGAATTTCGCTACAAAGAATATCTGAAAACTTGCACGGATCTATTGTAAATATGAAGTATCCTTTGCTAAATCCCATGTTGTAAACCACTAAAATTGTGTGTATAGTAAGGATTTAGCTTTTTCATTCCAAACTTGTTGATGGGTATGATGAAAGCCTAGTTATATGCCTTATTTCCAAAGCGTGTGGATACTCTTTACCACAAATTGAAAAACTCATTTGATTTTGTTATTTTCTCACAGACACTCCCAATCGAACGCCACCTCCTCAGCGTCTAAACAACGATGGTCCAGGTAATGAGAACATTCCATCACATGTTAAGGGTTTTTTTCAGGCAAATTATGTGTGGGATTTGCATAATTATCTGACATTAAAATAATTTTTGTAGAAAATTTGGTTTAAGTTATGGGTAAGGCTTCATGAGAGACAGGAAAAAATTAGTTGAAAACATATTTTCTCATCTTTGAGCATTTCCAAATACCAGAAGTGGAACATGAACTCAGACACAAGTAAACCATTAAATTATGTCAAAGGGAGCATTTTTTGCACTAATGAACAGGGGGCTGAATTAGTAAGGGGGGAATTGAGGACACTTTTTTCCTTACTTCATTTTTCATTGTGGCTGGGAAGTAAAGGAGAAATACATGCATGTGAACAATATGTGAAACGTATTGTTAATTCTCTGGTGAGTCCAGTTCTTTGGAAAACCCTATATACAGCTTCTAATAAGCTCCTCAATCTGAACGATCTGAATGGTAAGGACTGTGAATTTGTATGGGGCAGTAAGATTTCATCAATGTTGGTCTTATTTGAATAATAACTGCTTGCTTACTGATCTGCCTTTTCTTTTAGAACTTATTCACTTTCTTAATTTTGATTTCCTAGTGTATCTTAGCAGTGATGATGAGATGATGGAACCTCAATCCTCATCAACACCTAGAAATGGCATATCCACTGGTATGAATTGCAATGAATGTAACTCATTATCAGAAAGTTTTCAAGTGTTGAAATGGCCCTATAACATCTTTTCTTTATCATTATAGATCCTCACAATACTGCGGAACATTTTACGAGACAATTTTATGGCAAGTAGTGAATGGCATACACATTACTGTGTTGTTTTGAAAAACTAGACAAAACACGAGACCTGATAATTAAAGCAATTAAATGTTCCAGTCTTTTGTTTTGTACACAAAGATCCTCTTCTTAGCACAAAATTTTCTCTAAAAGTTTAACACAAAGAACCAGTGGGAGTTTGTGCTTGATAGTCCTTTGTTGGAACATTAAAAAGTGGAAGAAAATGACTTTTATTACTTTCTTTGGAAGGTCTAGATTTTGTACATGATGAAAATTTAATCTTGTCATTAATGTAATGAAAAACATTCTGTTTCTTATAAAAAATGCATACTTTAATTTTTTTTCAGATAAAGTGGAGAAGGTTTCAATGGGTGTGGTAGAATGTGTGCATTTTGGAGGGCCATCTACTGCTCATGTATTAGAAGGTGAGCCAGTCATAATTAATAATATCCTGAGATGAGTAAGTTAAGGGGGAAGTTGCATGTTATTTTTAGTATTAATTAGCATTTTTTTTTACTGCAAATGTGGGTGGGATTTCAGATTTCACCTTTTAAATAGAATCTGAGTTAGTAAGCTTTCAGGAACCTTTTTTTCATTTGGTTCTACACTAAAAAGTCACAAGAAAAAAAATTTGAAAGAACAAACTGATGGCATTTAGCATAAGCTCATAAAATGGATTTAAATCTCCAATTAGCAAATGTTCTTTAAAAGCCATGTATATGTATGTTGTGTCATGTACACAAGCCTGGGTGGGTTATGTCCTCACCTTTGAACTGCATCAGCTCATTAATCAGGTTTTGCATCTTTTTACATTTGAATACTGTAATCCCAACTTTTCTTTTGTTTGTGAAGCTGGTGAAGTAGAAGAGATGGAGGACACCACAGTACTAGCAGAACTTGGTTAGTACATAAGTTCTTTAGAGAGACCAAATGTTTATTATGAATAATAATGTATGTAGACTGTACCATGTATTTTCCATGTGTGTTGCTGATGTTTTATTATGCTATTGTCGATTAAAAATATACAGATCCTGCTAGTGGACCAGCCTATGATGTGGCACTTTTCCGCAAGTTTTTGAAGGTTCATAAAATCCCTCCAAGACTTCCCATCATCTGCTTGTCTGCTTTGCAGGTATACTGTGTTCAGTGAAGTACACATTTAAGGGGTTTCACCATTAATGCTCAGCAAACTGGGCTTGAATAACTGATTTCAAGTTTGAGCCATTCTGACATATATATATTTGTATACAAATATATATATTTGCATATCTTAAAATAAATTTGTATACATCTCCTCACATTTACTTTAGTTTGACTTAAAATTTACTTCAAGGGAATAAGCTTACTAAAGGTGAACTCTGTAGTGCTGCAGCATGAATGACTGTCAAAACTATGCTCAGTAGTTCCAAGACTTTAGGCTAGGGGAATAAGTCCATTACTCATTACTTCAATCAAAGAAAGTAATAATCATTAAATATAACCTTTTTCCTCATTATACACCACTTTTGATTGGAAACAAGGCTTTACAGAAAGCTAGCAGATCATCGCTTTCTACCAAAAACCTCCTATCAACATGTTAGATCACATTTTTGAGATTGCACTCTTATTTTTCTGTTTTAATCCTATATTGTTAAGTTCCAATTCTCCTCAGTTCAACTTCTTGATGATAACCCAATTCAGTAATATTGACTTGATTCTAAATGTGTTGCACACAGATGCAGCTGCAGGCTCATTTTGATGGGAAGCCGGTGTGCCTGATACGTTTTAAACTAACAGATAAGGCGGCAGGTATGCTTAGGTGAGTATGTTCCTGACCATACTTTGGCTCATGTAGAAGGAAGAAGGGAGGAAAAAAACATTGATTGATTTCATAACTTGATTTAAATTAACACATAGAACATGGCCTAACATACAGAATACAGTTATACAATTATTAATCTAAATACATGGACATTATTTTTCTATTTGTTATAAGGACTAATAAGTTTAAATCTTCTTGTAGGCAACTCATGGATAGTACTGAGACCATCAAAAAGTGTTATGTCCTGGTCTCCTATGTAGGATCTCAGTTTGATGTGGAAGGTAGCTAATTTTAAACTTCTTCTTCTAGGTTATATTTGTCGAGCTAAAGTGAAATTACCAGTCAGTGGGTAGATTTTGGGAGGCAAATTAAGAGGCTGAATATGTAATTGAATATGATTTTCTTTCTTGTGGATACAAGAGGCTGAAATTGATTGCATGGATAATGAAGATGGATTGAGTAACAGAATGATTATTAGCCTTTGGTGAAAACTATCGGTCTAATGGCAAGTGGCATTACTTCTTGCTAATGAAGCCGTGTTGGTTGAGGCCATTTCTATGCAGAAATCTCTTAGTGTTTTCTTTTTCTATTCTAATGTTACCCTAGTTTGTGGGAGGTCTGATCACACGAAAGATATGGAGTTGGAGTGTCGCATTTTTCAGCCCACGATGTCTCCTGTGAGACTAGTTACAGGAGACATCATTACAGGCAAGTGAATTAGTTACCTTGTAGAAAAGAAATGTTATGGCCTGCCAAATTAAATTGCTATTCCCCTTTTGATGGATAGGTAATATCAGTAATGTTCATTAGTATGTTTGAAGCATGGAAATATTGGCAAGCAACTGAGAAAGGTACTAATCAGTGATATATTTTGTAGGAGGTCATGCAGATATGCTCTGTAAAATTGAAAGGGCAGTGACAGAAGGCTGTCTTGCAGCACAAGCTGTGTGTGAGCAAAGGTATGAAGCAATGCTTGATGTCTCGATTTTATCTTAAAATGTATATGAAAAATAGTGTAAAGAGTGCAAAGGTCACAAAGCCTCACTCTGTAACCCTTAATGCCCTATGCCTGATAGACACTGTCTTGTGAAAGAGGCAATAAAATTTATTATGTTAGTGGTACCTGTAAAAATCAATCGTTTAGCTGTCATATAAGTTAAAATAATATCTTTTTATACCTTTAGAAAACTGTTGGAGGATAGAAGAGAGTTCCGAAGAGTACAAGAGGATGAACTCAGACAATCAGTAAGTTATGATGAGATTAATGGAGTATTTGCTGGAGAATTGGGAGAGAATTTGCAGTTACCATACAGTTCAATACTAGCATCCTATCTCCAGGTCAATGCCATGCCAATGTTGGCTTCTAAATACATGGCTTTTAAAAGTATATCAAGTGAAAATAGTAAAGTGGGTTTTGCACGACTGTTGATTAAGGGGATCTAAACAAATTTGATTACCCACTCTCAGAGACATGTGATTGTCTGGTTCCTTTTTAAATCCAAACTCACCTGTTTTAAAAAGTTTACCAAACTGGCTTTTTTGACATATGATTGCCTGGATTTTTTTTAGTGACCTCGCGCTTTGTGAGACATTTAAAAACTCGTCCATTCTAGGACTTTTACGAACACTCAACTGTCGCTCAAATGTCTTTGTAAGACATTTTAGACGTCGGGCTTTTAAGACATTTGATACATCTTGCATTTTACGACATTTGGAACACCGTGCTCTTTGCGTCATTTGAGACATCGTGATTTTTAAGATACTTGAGACACTTAAGACCGTGTTTTTCAAGACCTTTGTGACATCGTGCTTTTTAAGACTTTTGAGACATCGTGCTTTTTAAGAATTTTGAGACATCGTGCTTTTTAAGTCATTTTGAGACATCGTGCTTTTTAAGTCATTTGAGACATCGTTTATAACAAGAGACATCGTACATTTAACGACTTTTGGGACATCGTGCTTTTTAAGACATTTGAGACATCGTGCTTTTTAAGACCTTTGTGACCTCGTGCTTTTTAAGACATTCGAGACATCGTGCTTTTTAAGACCTTTGTAACCTCGTGCTTTTTGAGACATTTGAGACATCGTGCTTTTTACGACATTTGAGACATCGTGCTTTTTAAGACATTTGTGACATCATGCTTCTTAAGACCTTTGAGACACCGTGCTTTATAAGACATACGAGACATCGGGATCAATATCAGTATCTGGGCCGAAGGCGCTATGAAACAGAGCCATTTAAATTTACGAAAAAACGGCTCATATAAAACAGTACCAGTAAACAACCCTTATGTAATAATGGTCAAATGAATGGCCTTATGTAATAAATGCTTTTAAAATGTACGACCTAAAAGTTCGTAAAAAGCGCCCGTTAAATGTTCGTAAAATGCGACTGTTAAATGTTTGTAAAAAGCGACTCTTAAATGTTCGTAAAATGCGATTCTTAAATCAGTGTTCGTAAAAATACGTTAAATGTTCGTAAAATGCGACTAAATGTTCGTAAAATGCGACTTTTAAATGTTAGTAAAATGCGACAGTTAAATTTTCGTAAAAATACGTTAAATGTTCGCAAAATGCGACTAAAATGTTCGTAAAATACGCCCGTTAAATGTTCGTAAACTGCAACCGTGAAATGTTCGTAAAATTTTTAAAATTGCGTAAACTACGACTGCTAGGTGTTCGTAAAATGCGCCCGTTAAAGTGTTTGAAAAATTTTCATATTGAGTGCTCGTAAAACGAGCCTGTTCAGTGTTAGTTATAAGACATTTGAGAAAGCGTGCTTTATAAGACATGTAAGACATCGTGCTTTATAATACATTGGAGACCTCGTGCTTTATAAGACATATGAGACATCATGCTTTATAAGACATTTGAGACATCGTGCTTTATAAGACATATGAGACCTCGTGCTTTATAATACATTTGAGACCTCGTGCTATATAAGACATATGAGACCTCGTGCTTTATAACACCTTTGAGACATCGTGCTTTATAATACATTTGAGACCTCGTGCTTTATAAGACATATGAGACCTCGTGCTTTATAATACATATGAGACCTCGTGCTTTATAAGACCTTTGACTCATCGTGCTTTATAATACATTTAAGACACCGTGCTTTATAATACATATGAGACATCGTGCTTTATAAGACATATAAGACATCATGCTTTATAAGACATGAGACATCGTGCTTTGTAAGACATTTGAGACATCATGCTTTATAAGACATATAAGACATCGTGCTTTATAAGACATTTGAGACATCTTGCTTTATAAGACATAAGACATCGTGTTTTATAAGACATTTGAGACATCGTGCTTTATAAGACATATAAGACATCGTGCTTTATAAGATCTTTGAGACATCGTGCTTTTTAAGACCTTTGAGACATCGTGGATTTTAAAACTTGTGGGACATCGTGCATTTTACGACTTCTGGGACATCGTGCTTTTTAAGACACTCGAGTCATCGTGCTTTTTTAGCTCATTTAAGACATCGTGCTTTTTGAGACCTTTGACACATCGTGCTTTTTAAGACCTTTGACACATCGTGCTTTTTATGACATTCGAGACATCGTGCTTTTTAAGACACTTGAGATGTGCTTTTTAAGACATTTGAGACATCGTGCTTTATAAGACATTTGTCACATCGTGCTTTATAAGACAGCACATCGTTCATTTTACGACGTTTGAGACATCGTGCTTTTTAAGACATTTAAGACATCGTGCTTTTTAAGACACTTGAGTCATCGTGCTTTTTAGCTCAATTAAGACATCGTGCTTTTTGAGACCTTTGACACATCGTGCTTTTTAAGACCTTTGACACATCGTGCTTTTTAAGACCTTTGACACATCGTGCTTTTTATGACATTTGAGACATCGTGCTTTATAAGACATTTGTCACATCGTGCTTTGTAAGACATATAGCACATCGTGCATTTTACGACGTTTGAGACATCGTGCTTTTTAAGACATTTGAGACAACGTGCCTTTCAAGTCATTTAAGACAGCGTGCTTTGTAAGACAATTGATACATCGCGCATTTTAAGACATTTGAAAGCTCACATTTTTAAAAAAATTATTGAGAGCTCGTGCTTTGTAAGGTGTCGGGATATCCCTGGTTTATATGAGGATGCTGTAATGTTCTGGTTTAAAAATTGATAATATAATCGACAAGCGCGCCCCATACTTAACACTCTTAACACTCTTTATGACGATAGCAAAATATTTGGAGTGTTTGGTGGTATGAGATAACAGCTTGCATTCCTTTTCGGCGCTCTCAATAGTCATTAACGTTGTTACTAATTTCCCCCGGGATCTAACCACGATAATTACATAATTACTTTTCAATTAAACGCACTCCCTCATTTGGAATTTTTAATTTTTTACACAATAAAGATCACTCATTTTTCGCTTAAGAATAAGTATTATGTAAACCTTTGACTTACGCTTACTGTGGATATCTGTATCGATAGGAGGCCGCAGACAAAGGAAAACAACGTGAGCGTGAGGTAAGTAGATAAGAGCAGGTACCTGGTAGATTTGAAGAGTCTTAATCGTTTGTGTTTTCGCATGAAAACAGCGACAATAAGTGTAATTTGCATCTCCAATTTGATATGATACCGCAAACGAAGGTTATGAAAGCAAAGTTCTGAAAATACCCTGCAGAATGCTTATAATGATCGCTGATTTAAATAAATTTGAGATTAGATTTCCCGTGACAACTTTTTCTAAGCGTAACGGTAGAAAGATAGCTCTGCATAAAATTTCCCTTACTAAACATTTCAAGGCTAGGCAACTGAAACACTTAGATCTATTGCAAGCCAACCATAGATGAATACATAATTCTTACAAAAATGTTCATAGGCAGAGGAGGAAGAAGGAGACCTTGATGTCACCGAACCAGACAGTGAATGGGTAATTACTTTTGCACTAATATTCACAGCCACTTTGGACACTTTCTATGTCAGGTGCATACCCTGTATTGATCTAAAATACCTTTTCTATATATAATAAAAATTGGCTTTGAATGATGCACGACCCGTTCAGGGCGTGAAATTGCGCCTAATACATGCGGCAATGCGCCTAAATTTTTCACTTTGGCGACCAAATCCTGAAAGTTAGTCGCCAAATTGGCGACTAGAACGTTTCATCATAACCTTACCAATCTTGATCATCTGGTTCTATCAACAGAGTTGATATGGCAAATTGATCACAGTAAGGGGAATGTAAAGTCATAACTAAACCCTTAATTCAACAGTCTGGACCTTTTAGAGCATAGCTAAAATTACACGACTAAATTGATTTAATAGTACTTTTGAACTTTGCTTGCGTCGGGCAAAAATACAACGAAAGTTTAGTTTTACTTCACACGTGAAGCTGAGGGGAAAAGGACTGTCTTTCCTTGGAGCTTGCTGGAGAGGACGGCTGTTAACTTTGAACAATATTAAATCCTAGGTTCGTCAAAAAAGAATCCAGGCGCTGACCCGCAATGAGGTTAGATGTATTTATATCTTTTAAAAACTGATGGTTAAATTGATGGAATTACGAACATTTAAATACACCTTTGATCAGGAAAACATTGGACCTCCTAGATAGTTTTACTTGAATTAGTTAATTCATTGGCGTCAACGTGACCATCATATCTCTCATTATGCTTATATTCCAACAGCTGCCGGCGGGACCCGCAACAAATTTTGATGAAGTAAGTATAATTGTCTATGACTCTGGAGAGAATTATAGACACTTCATTTTAGAGAGATTTAATTTTTTTTATGTTATTATTGTTTTTCATATTATTTTTAAATGTGTTCAGCATATTCTAAATACATGCTGCCACATTTAGGGAGAGGCATATGGCATTCAAGATGACAGCGATGATAGTGGAACGGTAAGATGTGTTTGCATTGTATAAATCTCGATCTCAATGATAGTGGAACGGTAAGAAGTGTTCGCATGATACAAAAAATCAATGTTAATTCCAAATTTTCAGTTTCGTTGCATTTGGAAGTTTTGGGTTTTTTCTCTTTAGCTCCAATAGTTTTGTTTTGATATTTTTGTTTTTAGATCGATCATGTTCATTTTTTGTTTGTTTGTTTTTTCTGGTTTTTCAGCATGGTGGTTTAACCCCTTTGATTTTCCGATAGTACTAAGTCGTTAGGTTTTAAGTAGTACTTCCATAGCATTCGCTTTAAACAAGTGATTTACAAAAAGAAACACGTGGTTGCCAGCACCATTTCAACGAGGTACAGAAGCGATTAGGGATGAGAACACAATGGGGTACTTGAAACCAAGGCACGAACGGTGCCGACTTCATGGGGTTTGTCCAGAACGATTATTACCGTAAGTTTGGGGATTTGATTCAGAATTGAAATCTCGTACTCTGCTTTTGTTCGCAGGTGACTTTCAGAACAGAATAAGAACAGTCCAAGAAAAGAAAACAGTCCAAGAAAAGTCGTTTTTTCAAATTTATTCTTTGTTGTAGTTATTAAAAACGTAAAGAAAATGAAATTTGTTATCTCTTTCTCTATGACCTAATAATTAAATTACATCCACTTTAAGTAAACAGGTGTTGGGTGCGTGATAAGACGAGCCGAAAAAAGTGTTTCGTGTCTCAGAAATTCAGTGATGATGGCCAAACCCAGTTGATACCCTACCCCCTAACAATATAGGCAATCTTCAAATTATTTCCCATTGTTCATTATTTCCTGGCACTCTAAGTGTAAGATTCCTAAATCAATTCATTGACCTCAAATTATCATGTTTTAGACCGCCTTAACTCTCTTCCTGAGGTCTTAAATACTAGGGTTACAAGTAACTGAATGCGGTGAATTTTAAAAACACTTAACTGACATATTTTAATTGCCACCCTTGACTTAATTTAATTGCCACCCAAGAAAGTTTGCAATCTTAAATCCAACGACAATCCCTCAGTTGTTTTCTCTCAGCAACTTACATCCAGAACCCTTTACATTCGGCATTTTAAGAGTAATTCAAACTCGTGAATCTGAAGGCCTTTTTGTTGTCGTGCATTCTACCAGATGCTTCTTAAGGCGTACATTTTACTAACAATCTACGGTTGTGCATTTTACAAAAACGAAACTGCCGCACTTTGCAAGCACTTAGTAGTCGCACTCTAAAAAAACCTAGTCGATCTTTACATGTACCGAACCTAAAGTTTCTATTAAGTACATGTAAAGATCGACGTTTGAATCAATTAGGATCGGCAGATTTGTATAGACGTTTGAATCAACTGCCGCTCTTAATTATTCGAGTCGACCCAAATTGCAATTAGGTTCGGTACATGTAAAGATCGACGTTTGAACGAGGCCTTAACGGGCGAATTTTACGAACACGTAGCAGTCGCAATTTAAGCACATTTAAAAGTCGCAGTTTACGAACATTTAACGGGCGTATTTTACGAAATTTAGTCGCATTTTACAAATATTTAACGGTCGCATTTTACGAACATTTTAGTCGCATTTTAAGAACATTTAACGTATTTTTACGAACATTTAACTGTTGTATTTTACGAACATTTAACTGTCGCATTTTACGAACATTTAACGGTCGCATTTTACGAACATTTAGTCGCATTTTACGAACTTTTAACCGTCGCATTTTATAAACATTTAAAGGGCGTATATTTACGAACATTTCACAGCTGCATTTTACGAACATTTAAAGGTCGCATTTTACGAACATTTAACGTATTTTTACGAACATTTAGCGTATTTTTACGGACATTTAAGAGTCGCATTTTATGAACATTTAACGTATTTTTACGAACATTTAAGAGTCGCATTTTACGAACATTTAACAGTCACATTTTACGAACATTTAACAGTCGCATTTTAGGAATATTTTACGTATTTTTACGAACATTTAAGAGTCGCATTTTACGAACATTTAAGAGTCGCATTTTAGGAATATTTTACTTATTTTTACGAACATTTAAGAGTCGCATTTTACAAATATTTAACGGTCGCATTTTACGAACATTTTAGTCGCATTTTACGAGCATTTAACGTATTTTTACGAACATTTAACTGTCGCATTTTACTAACATTTAACAGTCGCATTTTAAGAACATTTAGTCGCATTTTACGAACATTTAACAGTCGCATTTTACGAACATTTAACGGGCGCTTTTTACGAACTTTGAGGTCGTACATTTTAAAAGCATTTATTACATAAGGCCATTCATTTTATCATTATTACATAAGGGTTGTTTACTGGTACTGTTTTATATAAGCCGTTTTTTCGTAAATTTAAATGGCTCTGTTTCATAGCGCCTTCGGCCCAGATACTGATATTGATCCAAACAGTTTTATTCATTATGCAGAAAATTATTCTATGTATAATAGCTTACACTTTGTTGTTGTTATTGTTGATTGTAGGGACTTGTCCAACAACCAATTAAAAAATCTATCGTCAGGAGCTTTAAGCGGAATTTACCTCACCTTTTATTCTTCTCTGAACCTGTAAGTAAGACTGTTGAACTTTGATTTTATATTTGCTTAAAGGGACCAGAAGTAGATCAGGGTCTATAACTTACCCAGGTAAGTGTCGGTATGAAATTAGAGGGAGAAAGGGTGCACAGATGCTGAGCTGACTCCTCCCCAACCCAGGAGGTGTTGCTTAAGAATGACAACAGAGTAGCCGGACATATGTGATGAAAACCATCAAGCGACACAGATAGAAGTCTGCAAAATTAGAATCCATCACCTCTCTCTATCATGAAAAAAAGACTATCGTCTCTTTAATCGTGTATACGGTAAAGGGAAGGATATCATCGTCCTGATCGTCCAGGTAAATGGAAGTTTCGAAAGAAATAACGTTGGCGTAAGTCATCAAACGGAATCAAGTACATAGTCGCGTGTTATTTGAATGAATAAAGTTCGGCCCTTTATTTATAATTGGTCAGCTCCGTGAAGTCTATCCTTTGATTTCCAGATTTATAACATTTCGTGAGTCTTTTTTGGTTGATTTCGATCCGTCTGTCATGATACAGGGTCTTTTGATTTAAAGTAACAGCAGCTTAGAGTATTTCGTTTAGATCTTGAAAGTTCACGTCAGCTCAGTTGGTATCATACTCTTTATTCTATTGTTACCTTTAGCAAAATTGTTTTTTCGGACATCTTTTTGACCTTAATTTAACTTGATCATATCGAATGAACTTATACCAGGCACTAAAATTTGAGGAAAGGGCGGCGTCACTGATGGAAACAATATGACTTCGTGAACGCCATTAGTCGAGCATCATGACGGAATGCTCAAGAGAAATAAAAATTTAGATAGCAAAACTGTCGCTCTCGGTGATGGAATGGAGATGAAATTGATTATGCAAGCGCTTAACCGAGGAATCTTGCTTCGAGGGGGTGAGGGGTGGGGCGGAGAAATTCAGGCCTCTGAGCTCACTGTCTAACGGACACAGGGCAAATATTAGTCAATTATTTCTTGATTAATGAGAAGTAACTGGACTTGGAACGTGCCAAGAAAGACTTTACAGGAGTTTCATTTGTCTGCTTATCCTCTAGAAGAATGCAAATTTAATGTGCATCCAACCAGACGTTATTAAAGCGTCAACATCCTTAGGAATTTATTGAGGAATGAATGGACGATTTTTAATGGGAAGTCGTAATTAAACCTTCATGATAAGAAAAAGATGATAATAATCCAAAGATAGCCTCAAAGTATCTCATAAACCCATAAGTATTAGACCGTTCAAAGTCATTTTTTAAGGTTAAATAGAACTCGAGAATCTTTCATGATGCACCGTTTTCATCTAATCCTTTGTACGAAACATTTAAACGGACATAAAATGTCTCGGTTTTCTGAAGCTTTGTTTTCCATAAAATAGCTGAGTCAGCCATAAGTTGTTATTTGCTCGACTTTATTCCTAGCCTCAATTGTTAAAACCTATGTAGGTGACCAGTGTGATGTTTTTTTTTTGGTCACACGTTCTTTATTTGGTATCAAATCAATGAGACTAAAACCTCGATAGGTGAACTTCTTTGTGTGGTTTACTCTCTGTGACGTAATGTTGCCAAGTCATATCTCTTGGTTGAATAGTTCAAAATTTGTTCAAAAAAGCTGAGTACCAATGAGTTTTATAGCGTAGAAAGCTCCGGTTCGAACCGAGGCCTCCCGCCGTCAGAGGTTTCGCCTTCTACGACATTTCACTACATTATGCCTCCGTGATATTCAAGAGGCGAAAAACTAGGCAAGACGATTGTTGATTTAAAATCATGTCACCTTCGGATATGGGAAATCTATTATGAAGTCCTCCTCTTTAAGCATTCGATTGGAGAAGATGGCTCGGAGTGGTCACCACTTTCCCTAGTTCAGAGGAACTTGTAGTCATTGGGGAAATGAAAAATTGCTCTCACTCTATGTTAAAAAATCTTTTGCCATGTATGAAACTCGTCAGATTAAGACTAAAGTAACGTAGCGGCTTTGCATTACTCATGCAAAAAGTTGTGCATTTTTTATTTGCATGTGAAAAAATCATCTTGGTCACAAAGATATCATGATTTCGACATGAAAAAAGTATGGTTCTGTGGTATGGAAAAAATTCGAAAGATCTGGTTATCTGTTAAATGTTGGGGCGAACTTTTTTACGTTGGGCGGCGAACTCGAAAAGGTAATAGGGGGCGAACTTGCAATGAGGCGAGTTCACGATAATCCCTTTCCTGCAAGATACTTAGTGTGACACACATGCAGAATGTCTCTAAGCCTTAAAACCAGCCATAAGGTTCATTTCATTGGTCTTTGCGCTGTAATCGTAATTTATTTCAGTCCAATTATTTATTGCCGTAGTTATTTGCGTTGTCCTTGTTGTCAACATTTGGGACGTCGCTATCGAGGCAACAACTAATACTTAATGGA